ACACGAGCGGAAATCGAAACCGAAACTTTGGCTCCGCCCGGCAACATTGGCCTCGGGCCGCCAAGTGTTGGTACCATCTCGTACCATCACGTGGTATGAGATGTCACGTGATCCTCGGCCCAACAACGGGCAGGATTGGGTCGGGCGTGTGGCTGGTGCGAGTGTCGTCTGCACCTCACTCTTTGCCACGTTTTGGTGTCTACGGCATTCAACGACGTCTGCACAACTGCGGCATAAGTCTGCACATGTGGTGTGCAGACTTATGGCTTATGTGGTGTCCGTAGTATGGATGAAACTCCGAGAGACAATAATCACAATCGGTGAGGCGATGATGGCGGTTGTGACACGGAAGACGGCGGGACCACGGCGGGCGGCCGGACGGCTCCCAAGAAACGCGCTGCGCAGGCGCGTTACACCAATCACGTGGACACCGCTAAGCGCCGAGAGGCAACGTTGCTGACGTCATGCGCTACGCTCGCCCGGATAAGTGAAAACAAGCTAAAGGGGGCCATGATAATGACATTTAGCTCAATGTTGGCTCTGCCCATGCCGTAGCCTTGACTGCGCTGTTGGTTGCGCCTGAATTCGCCCGCTCAAGTCAGCCGATTTCGGCAACTTGGCGAGTTGCAAAGTTTGCCGGACCGTTTAAGAAACATTTAGACAGAACTGCGTCGTAACATTTCACGTGTGGTCTTCCTAGGCGATACTGAAGAGGACTGCATTGTTTTTTCAAAACCAAAAATGAAGCGGAGTTGCCCTTTAAGTTCTTTCAGTGTTTCGGAATTCTTCAGAAAGACGAGAGTCTCAGTGTGAGGGTGTAACATGGTGGCCTAATTCTTTTTTTTAACATCCTGCTCCGTCAGAATCACCGTTGTTTCTCAGTAGATAGAGCGGAGTTGCTAAATATGCAACTCTATGTAGCTGCACGTATAGCCTGGTTGACCTACTGGGCAGTGCACTGGGCTCTCACGCTGGTGGCCGAGATTCAATACCCGGAACCATGGGTGCTTTTATTTTGCTACTTTACTGAAAGGTTCTAGAATGATTGCATAATTAGTGGTAAGTTCCGACTTAGAAAGTTCTATGCCCGATCGTGTTCGTTCGGATGTTCAAGAAACCAGTGTAACATGAAAGAAGAGTTGGCGGGACAGTATGGAGCCATTCATCACCAGTGCTCAACCCTGCTCTCATGCCGATATCGGTGCCTGCGACGTTCCATTATTCTAATTTGTTTCTTTGCCTTTGGGCACAGGTTCACCCCCATTAAATCTATCATTCACCCTGTTTGTTTATCGTTCCTTCGTTGGATTCGTGGCAGTGTGCAGGTTCCAGCACAGACCCAAATGACATGACTGCTATCTCCACTGCTAAGGAAGACCTAAGAATGCAGAAGTTTCATCAAAACATACCGGGCGGCATTTCAAAGCACATACTGTTTGTGGGAGCTGCACCACATTTTGTTTGTCTGCATTCTCTATTTGTTCAGGACCCGTGTAGCAGCGCTACACTGGAATGAGAACAGCGAAAGGGAGCAGGCCACTACTAAGGCGGGTGAAAGGCAGTGGGCAGTGAGATCGCCCAAGGCCAGGAAAGGGCATCACACTGTCTGCCCCCAAAAGACAAAAGTCACATATGGTATTCTGAAAGAATTCTACTCTGTGGTCTTTTTAATTGGTATTCCTGTACTATTAGGAGATCAATTTACGTAGTGACTACAGCTGATGACTGATTAGTCACAGGGTGTGTACCAACCGGGAGAACCTGGAATTCTCAGAAGATTTCAGTCATCAGGAAAAGTCTGGGAATTATCAAGGAAATCATCAAAAAGTTGACTAAATCAAGGGAAATGACCAATGAAAGTGTCACAGTGGCGCAGAAGAGGGCGCGACGGTATCACATCAGCATAGCCATGCTGAATGTTGCCGAAACAGTCCGAGTATTTTATCGAAATAGGTAAAAATCTGGAAAAGTCACAGAATTTGACATCAGACACCACCATGCATCAAGATGTGTCGTCTGCCCCACGGCATTGGATTTATACGTCAAAAAGATAGTATGTCATCTACTCCATGGCATCAGCACCTTCTAATTTAATGAGAGGCACCCTCTTTTTAATTTCACATGAGGGCCATAATCACCCACGCAAGGTGGAAAATAGGCAGCTGAGGAGGAAGAAGGTTTCACCCGTGCAAACTTTTCTTTCCGGGACAGCGGGTATAAATCTAAATGCGAGCTGACACCTGTTTTATGTGATATAGATGTGTAGAGTATACAATTCTGAGCAGAAATTTATGAAGGCGCATATGTTGTATCACGGTGCTACCGACTTTGCACCGAAACTGAAATAACTGGAAGTAAAATGTTTTGATATAAACTACAGCTATCAAAAAATATGATAAATTAATTTTTCAGATTACGTCGGAAAGCTCGTGGCTCGGGCCGTGGCAATCTGCAAGGACATCGGACCTCTGAGGGAGGTCTTCAAGCTTGATGCGAGGACGCCGCGTCTGCCAAACCTGAACCGGAGCTGCGACAGACCACCAAAGGAGGATCTGGTTGCTGCCAGAATCAGCCGTTTTGGAAAGAAGGCGCCCAACGCAACGGAGTAATGGTTTGCTTTGCAAGCACAATACCAGCGCACTCCACTTGCTGGTTGAGTTCTTGTTGCAGTTGGGGCTGTTGTAACATGAGATGGAGTGGGGCTCTGGTCGCTCGCACTGTGTATTTGAGGAAGCTGGCATTTTGCCTGACGACTTTTCCGTTTCGAGATGCCTTGATGCAGGATCCTCGGAATGAGATAACAGTGAAAGACCTGGAGTCATAAAATGGGGTAGATTTTTTGTGCTGCTGTTCTCTGCAGAGCGCGAGTTGACTTGAAATGAAGTTGTACGTTTGTGCGTAATGTCACTTGTTGACATATGCCTTGTCGTATCTTTTCCTCGCTGCATCTGTTTGTTGTGCCTCGATCTCGGTGTAGCCTTTGTCACCAGGGTTAGGAAGTACTGGTAACATGTTGCACACTTCCCAGTTCTTTGACAGATGAGGTGGTGATGGCTTGGTGTTCACTGCGAGCACCTTTCTTTTGTTTTCGTCGGGCTGCCAGACTTTTGTTTTATGATGCTGACGTTGTGCTTCGCCTCTTCGAATAGCCGGCCTTGCTTGAGTATTCCTTGTGCGTCAAGTCGTGTTGTATGGTATAGCGGCGCAGCCTTGAGGACTTTGTCGTGATGAGGATCTGGTTTTTAATCTCGGTGTCCAGGCCAACGAACACACAGTGCCTCGCAAGCTGCCGCAGTCAAGCGTAAAACAGGTTGAGTGACTCGCTTCCCACCTGCTTCGTCTGCTGAAAGCGGTAAACTTCGAAGCTCGTAGTTACCTGGGGTAGGAGTAAGCGTCGAGCTTCCTGCGTGTAGCTGTGTATAGAGCAGTTGTGTCGCTGCAGAACTTTGCTGCGGTTGAGACAGGCGCAGTCACTGGAGGTTCTGGTAGCATGCAGCAAGTGTCGTAGAGGTCTTCTCCGATATAGTGCAACTGAAAGGCGGTGTTCCTGGCATCATTTTGATTCCACAGGCGACCACAAAGTCCTCGAACCGTTTTACCCACATTGACCACTCAGTGCCGACATTATTGGTATCAGTGACACGAGCGTCAAAGGAGGGAAATGGGGGGGAGCACGCCTTAGTCCATCTTGCTAGGCAGGTGTCATTTGTTGGATGCGTCGGGGTCCATTCCACTTCATTGCAGGGCGATCCTTATGCTGTTCTTGCACATTTTCTTGGCCATTTGTAGCGTTGTCTGCGTTTAGGAGGGATGAATTTCGTCCGGTTATGATTCGGAACAAAACATGTTTATTACACATTCATAGCTATCTCGGATCATGTGTCCATGGATGTGTTAGAATCTCCTAGGATACTGCACTATTGAACTGTTCATTACAGTACAGTAGACCAAAGAGGCATGGCCTGGTTTGTGCCTACCAGGTTGAAGGAGAGGGAACGAAGTATGAGCTTGGTCTGGCTTTATTTTCACAGTCCCCACTTTTTTGCAATTCAGGCAAAGGAACATACCCCCGAATTTTGTGAATTCCAAAAGTGAGAATTGAGGGCCTCTAGAGGCCAGTGTTTTCTTTCGCATGCTCCTAAATTTCACTAATCCTTCAATTCGCGAAATTCACCAAATTAAGGGCTTGCAAAAGTAAAGGGTTTTACAGTATTGGGACAGCCAGTCAGCGTGCCCATATGCAGGGCACACCAACACTCGGATACAGCAGTTCTCACACAAACCCCCAAGGGTCCTCAAGAGCATTCATGGGGGGGAGTCGTCTTCCTTGCATTAGTGCATGTCAAATCAAGGACACGAAACAGGGTGTCCGATGTTGGCACATTATTGTCTAGCGTACATCACCTTTTACACTGATTGCAAGCTGCGAGTACCACTTCATATGTAGCACAATCTGAGTACCTGCAACTGCACTATGTTTTTGGGGCCTTGCCTTGCAGCCTTGTTTTGTGTGTGTTTAGTTGATACGTTTCGTTTACATCCCGTCTGCCCCCTTTTCACATAATAAGTCTTGTGTCAAACTGATAGGGGAGGACGCTCACTCGAGTCAAGCCTCGGCTAAAGTGCGATGTGCTTATCAGTTTGTGCTGAGCCCCGAGTGAGCATCCTCTCCTTGAAGCAGAATGAAATTGCCCGCAGTGCCCCCGCCAGCCACCGCCTCGGTCACGCTCTCCCAGTGGGTCCTTCGTATTGCAGCACATTGTACATGAATAGTGCAAAATAAACAGCAATGCTTCGTAAGCTGTAGGAAGTACTGAATGTAGAATGACTACATGAACAGTGCAAAATTGATCGCAATGCTTTGTAAGCTGTGGGAAAACCAGCATCAGTGCTTGAAGTTGTATGTTTGTTTTAATCAGTCGAAATGTTTTGTTGTCTGGGTGCATAAAGTAGTATGCTTGCAAAAACTTTAGTGAAACAATGTGGCGTTTACAGCATTTTTATTCTACATCATGAAACCCCGTATACGTTTCCGAAGGGAATTCATCGTGGATCCTCTTGACCACGCAGGCCGGTAGAACACGTCGATTGCGACGTCCCAGCCTCCGCCACATCCACCGCACGAATTGGTGATAGGCCGCAAAACGAAGCCTGGAAAATTTATAAGGACAAAGCTGGTCAATTACCACTGATACGAATGTTTGAAGTGCCAGCCAAGACACACTACACATCTGGATGATACTATACTCAGTTTCAAGTTGTGTGCAGTGCAGGCACAGCTTTCCACAGTGTTTTGTGTGCACAAGCACTTGCACGCAGAGGGTGTGTTTGGAAGCCACGCGCTCGTGCCTGTGCCTACACTGCACACAAGTTGGGACTCCGAGTATAGGGCAGGTTTATGGAATTGAGGTGCATGTGACAAATGAAAATACATCAAGATTTACTTTGGAGTATCTAATTAAGTGAAACGCAGGACTACAGAGATGTGATGTTTTCAAAAGCTGGACGGTGCAATAAGATGCAATGAATGCCTGACCATGTTACTTGTGCACATAGGAGACTTGACCGCATGTAATAAAAAAACAGCATCATGTGTCGAGCTTGAATGTTTTGTTTTACTGATTGTCTGTACTTTGCGATTTCTGGCTGAACAATATAAGCGGGTAATAGGGCCACTTCATGCAGAGCACACCCGCCTTTTGTCCTATTACACAAGACCTTGTGCTCAAATAAACTGGGCAACTTCAGAGAGTTGTGATGCAGTCTCCTAAACGTAGTGTTGTGTTCTTCCATGGGAATATCTGCATGGTGACGTGCGTGTGCGCCACCCAAAATGTTTTGTCAGCCCCAGACTGTCGCATGTTTAAAAACTCCTGCATTATAAAAAATAAGGCATACCTTTTCTTTTTTCACAAAGGGAAAACCCAAAAAATTAGACCTTGATAAACTATTCCTTTTTTTTTTTCTTCTTTTTGTATGACTGAAATTGATGTTACAGGCACGAGTGCGCTGTCTTCGACAACGATTTGCCTTCACGAACGCGTGCTTACCAGGCCCAAAGTTTTGCGCTCGCTTCCGTTGCTTCCTTTTCGCTTGGGATTAGTATGAAGTGAGGTCTGGAAGTATAAGCTGGACTAAGGAGAGGCTCCGTGACCACTGAGTACTCGAGCTTCTTTACTTGGCCAGCACATTCCGAAGGATCCCAGAAAGGTCTGCACAGAGTAGGCCACAAGCATTTTGTTCCACTCCAGTGAGCATCCTAACTATGCAAAGCTTCACACAGCAGGGGACAGCTCGTCTGCATGGTCATTGCATGCATATTTGCAGACGGGAGTGGGGTCGGTACTGTGCGCGAAAGACTTGCCGTGTGCATCACACTGGCGTTTTATTACATTCTAGTCGAACTTATAAAATCACCGAACAAAATTTTAGGAGAAGGTTTCCCAGAGATAACTTTCTCTTGGTTATAAGGGAAAACCTGCGCTGGCGTATGCAGTACGTGCTAGCGGGGTCGCGTTCTGCAATCCCTGAGCGCAGGAAGCATGTCTATCAAATGAGCAACACTTTCCTACAAGGAAATTTCAAACAAACTACGCACTTCTGTTCTCGCGGCGCCGGGTGACGACCTGCCTCCTGCAGAGCCCAGAACGCGACTTCGAGCACGCCGGGCTGGAGGCAGATCGGTGCGAAGTTGTTGTGCTCCGTGATGCACCCTCCCGGGCGAGTCGCGACCGCGGGGGGACACTCCCTGCAGCAGATGCACTCTTTAGGCGTCGGCATGATGCCGCACCTCTTGCACGAGCACCTGAGATCAGAATAAGCCAGTGTCAGACGAAAGCTACCTGCAAACAGCATGTGCGATTATTACCATGCCGTCGTGGTCAGCCGCCACGAATCTGGGTCCGGAGTCGGGCTGGGGCTTCCGTCGAGCACCGCCCGCGCGTCCTCTTCACTCAGACATTTCGACGGCGTCCCCGCGTACGGAACGAGCCCCAGTGACTCGCTGTACTCCAGCATCTGGAGCTCGACCTCGTTGAGTTCGCCTCTCCAGAGGCCGGTGGCCATGTTGATCGCAAGCATGCGGTGACGCGGTCACGTGGTCGTGAGCGGATGAGTTCTCGCCGCTCACTGACGGCGTTAGAGAGAGGAATTTCCCGGAACCCCGCACCTACCCAAGCGACGTCACTGCGCACGTGACCCGGAAGACGATGTACGAGTTGAGAGGCGGCAAAAACCTGGATCTTTTTCATTTTTTTAAATAAAAACTACGGTATCCAGGCAAAATCTGTTTTCTGTAGTTCACTTCAGAAGTGTCAGGCAGCAACTTCCACAATTATTTAAGCAAAGCCCTGAAATTGTTGCACAGCTCCTTTAACAAAATCCTTTTTTTTTGCTCATTTTATTTTGGGGCTGCAGCGGTGTTCGGGGAAAAGAGCGCACGCGACCGTTCCAACAGCGGGCACTCTCTGCCCTCCCTAAGCGTGCGGGTGCCCTTCCCCTTTCGTTTGCCATCTTCCACCTTTTTGGTTTTTACTGTTTTTTTTTTTTTTTTATACAATTGCTTTTTTTCTGCGTATGCCCACGTATCCCCGCCATGGGAGTTGTGGACGTTTGATACAAAAAAACAGTGTGATTTTCTAGGGGATGTTTGGATTGTTTCATATACAAACAATAATTCGAAATACACGGGTGCGATATAACCGGGCTTGACTGTACGTTTGGCCCATTTCATTGATATCTGAAGAATTTTGGACTGTGAGAGTCTATCTGTAACACTTCTAAAAATAAAAATTAATAAATAAAAAAAAATTCCCTGATAGAAGAGCGTAGAAGCTTAGCTCGTCGGATCCCAAAGTAGTTGCCCAGCAATTAGCGGTTGAGCGTAGGAAGAATGAACAGAAGAAGGCTAAACGCGCTGCAAAGACACCAGAGCAAAGGAAGGAACGTCTAGCAAAGCGGCGTCGCCAGGAGGCTGAGCGACGTGCCCGACCATCTCAGCAGTAGCAACAAGACGCCTTCGATGACGTCAAGGCTCGCCGATTGACTGACTCATATAATGCGTATACCGTGTGTGTGTCATTGAAGCAGCAGTAAGCATGATAATCAAGCTAATCCTAGACAACCAGGAAAGCTAAGAATAACCAGCTGAACCTAAGCTCACGCTACGTACATCCTGGCATAGCCGAGCTAAGCCACTGGAATTTTTTTTGCATGAGATTTCTAAAATGCTTGAATAATGTTTATATAATAATGCCTCCTGACCTTTGTTTTTTCCTTTTCTGCATTGTTTATGTTTTTTAATTATCGAGAATCAAACTTGACAAACCCTTCCTTTGCAATGCTTTTCTCAAGAGGTCCTCAAACGGGCACTGACACCCCAAAGGTCATATTGCTTTTTTTTACTTGACGGTGACAGCGCAGGAAAAATCAATCTCACACCAGACACTCAGGAAGACAAGCACACGCGCTGAACTTACAACTCTTGTGTATTGGACTACTTCATTTTTCTCTTCAACGTCTGGGTTGACTTTTCAGAACGTGATAAGTAGAATAAGTAGCACGAAATACAAAGGAAAATTCTAAAGGGAAGGCAAAAGAACAGTAAAAGAGAAGAAAACTGAAGAAACGGAAAAAATATCTAAACGAAACACTTTACAAATCGTCCCTCTCCCTCATCGCTATCATTTAGATAGAAATTGGAGCTCTTTGGTCAACAGCGCTATAGAAGGACTCCGTACACACTTGTCCTTCAGCTGTGCTATCCTTTCCGCTTCCATTATTTCTCTAGTCAGTGCGTTTCTACTCCTACCTATTACAGAACAATTTTCAAAATGTGCTATACAGCCACAATTGCAACAATGGATTCCCAAGTGTCCAGCTACGACTCGGTGGGTGTTATAAAAATGCTCTCTTAAACGATCATTCAGACACCTTCCAGTCTGGCCTATATACTCTCTACCACATGAGAGTGGGACAGAATATACGACTCCTTCAGTACAATTTACAAAGCTCTTTTGGTGCTTTTTCGAACAACCAACTTCCCGGTGTGCCGATCCGTTCACCTTCCTGCACAGGCTTAGAAGCTTATTTGGTGCTGAAAAAGCAACATTAATGTTAATGCGGTTACCCATCTTTTTTAGACCGTGCGAAAATTTATGTATATAGGGAACAACGGCCGTCCTTTTCTTTTCTGTATTGTGTTTAGGTCGTTCATCCCATCTTATTCTCTTTAATAAATCTTCTGCCATGGCTGTAAGTAATGTACTAGGATATCCTGTTGACTTTAACCTGGCAATTTGAGCATCAAAGCTAACCTTAAGTGAATGAATACAAGACTTATTAAGCGCATTAGTGAGACATAATTTAACAATGCCTCGCTTAACAAGTTTGGAGTGTGCTGACTGAAAATTAAGAAGAGGTTTGTTCCCTCTCGGTTTGTATGATTAACATACTGTATTTGCACGAATATAACGCGACCACGAATATAACGCGAGGGCAGGTTTTGATGCCCTCAAAAATAAAAATAAATATTACTATTATAACGCGAACCGAGGCCGCATCAATTTCTTGTGCTCTTGGGGGCATAGCAGATATAAAAAGTCAATGGAAATAGAAGAAATATCTGTTTATGTTTTGACTGCACTCGTCCTTACTGCTCAGGTCCTTCCGTTTACAATCCACTTGGCGACTACGCAGATAAGCAGCAGCACCGCACCTGCTTGTCTGGTAGTTCCCTTTTCTTCCGTGGGAGCTCCTCGGCAGCCCACAATCGAAACAAGGCACGAAGCGAAGCGGAAGCACCAACACACAAACACCAGATCACTCTGGAGCAGAAACTAAACAATGCGCAGGCAGAAAAAAGACTGCTGATTCCGATACACGATCACACTTCTTGTTCTGGTCCCTCTGCATAAACAAATGCCCCGTGTTGCACGATTGCGTAAACGCGGTTGGTGATGTTGGCTTGGCTTGTGTTGGCTTGACTTGGCCCGGCTTGGCTTGGCTCGAATTGGCCAGTGCCTGCATTCCCGCACGGCGCGCGTGCGCAGAGTTTCTGCGGCGTGCGCGTTGTACAAACACAAAAGCGATAAAAATGCCTTTTTATGTTTTCTCTTCGCCCCTTCCCGTGGCCCAATAGCTAATAAATTCCCTTCCACACCCCCCCCTCTTTTCCCACCGGATATTTTGCATTGAGCCGGAAGGATGGCTTTCCCCTCTGGCTTTCTCCAGACGCGCGCGCCTCGTGGCTGAACTCGATTCCGAATATAACGCGAGGTGCGTTTTGGAGCACGTAATTTAAAAAAAAAAGCTTGCGTTATATTCGTGCAAATACGGTACATGATGATCTGAAAAAATTAATCTGAGGTCCAAGAACCGCAAGGAACCTTCTGTGGGGAGCTCATGAGTGATTTCTAGTGGATCTACAGTGTAGACCGCATATAACAGATGTCGCGGGAGTCGCGAAAATCCGCACTATAAGCGGTACCGCACTATAACCAACACATCAATTTTTCAGGCCAAAATATTGAAAATACATGCCATGAGACAACTTACACTTGTGAAAAGAATTTATTTTATGTTAGATGAAAAATAAAGCTTAGTTTGAGGAAAGTCTTTATTTCACCGGACTAGTACAGTTCTGTCTCAAGTGTGTTACACATTTTGAAAGAAATGAGCAGCTTTTGCCTGGCGCAGCCTTTTAACGGCGTCGCGGGTTGCGGACGGACGTTGCGAGCGTTCAGGATTGCTAACCCTAATCACTTTTCTCCGGAGATGAAAACGCGTGAAAATTCGCATCCTTCACACGGTACGCGCCAGTAATACCTTGAACTTGAGCACACGCATGAAATGCGCCAAATCAGAAATCCGGGCGATGTTCGAGGACACAAATGCTTAGAAATCACCACTGTAGTCGAAGTAAGCAAACACGACGACACGGGCATTTCTGCCGTCTTGAGAGCGCCGCCACGACATCACCGCACGAGTAGGTGGATCTTCCCTTCTAGTACGTGCTGGGTTATCATAGCGACACACAACGAAAATTCACAGTCAAGGATAGCGCTTTTACGCGGAACGATGAGATGAACGCCGTCTACGACGACGATCACAACCCACGCCGTGTTTGCGGATAGAAGCAGCCGGCCCGCGACCGGCATGTAACGCGCGCAACACTTCTCCTCGACCTGCGATTGGTCTGTCGCTGCGGTTGTTTGTTTCCAACGCAGCGGAGGGACGCACGCACGTGAACGACACGTGCGTGCGTCCCTCCGTCGCTATGGCAACTGAAGCCTTTCGCTTCTTCCCGCTTCTTCGAGCAACTCGGCTCTGGAGCAACTGCCACGCGAGTGCCGTTTGCTGTTCGCGCCGTCAGCGCCGTTATCTAGTGTCGCACAGGGAAGCGCGCTCGCTGCTGCGGTCGTCGGCGCGGCCGGCGGGCTGTGCCAGAAACCGCACTATAACCGGTATTTCCCTTCGCGCGCCTGCATTTTAAGCGGTATGCAATTACATGGAGTTCTATGGGAGACGAACCGGTGGTTTAAAAAAACCGCGTTATACCCGGTCCTGCACTATAAGCGGTTACGTTGTAAATGGTCTATACTGTATACAGGATTTAAAACAGGAAAGAACGTTAGAGACCAATCTTTGAAAGTCATTAGCTGCACAATCTAGCACGATCAAAAAATCATCACCAAAGCGAAACACCTTCACAACAGTAGAAGCATCTAAGCAATGTGAAAGGATCCGGTCCCGATGCGCGAGGTAAAGGTTACTCAAAACTGATGCTATGCATGAACCAATGCATACCCCTGCTTTTTGGAGAAAGGTGCTGCCCTCCCAACACGCAAACATAGATTTTAAATATACGGTGAGCAATTCAAGGAAACCACCTTGGGAAATTCCTGACGCGGTCTGAAAAGCAATAACACCAAAAGAGTCAATGCAGTCCTCCAAGCACTTCAACAGCTTATCCTGCGGCAGAGAGTAGTAGAGGTCCTGTATGTCCACTGAGAAGGCCTTGAGATGCCAATCATTAGAGTTTGTTAGAAACTTTAT